CGAGGGCTTTACATTAGTAAGGGCCGACAGAACACAAAAGCGCAAAGGAGGGGGAGTAGCTCTATTCATTGGGAATGCTATCCCATTTACCATTATCGATAGTGTATCCCATGAGAGTGGGACGTGTGAATTAGTTAGTCTTCGCTTAAAATGCAAGGGACAAGAGCTGCTGATTGGTTTGGTCTATCGCAGTCCAAGCTGTGAGGCAAATGAGATCCTGTTAAGCAGTCTCAATACTTGGTCCCAAAGTGGTCGATGTCTAATCCTAGGGGACTTTAATGCACCTATGGTAGACTGGGAAAATCTGCGAACTAAGTCGTCGGAGAATTCTTTCGAGCAGGAACTAGTTGGTGGGGTTATCACATGTGCTCTAGTGCAACATGTGAAAGAAGCGACAAGGTACGATCCGGACACTGAATCATCCTTATTAGATCTTATACTGACTCACTATGAGGATGATGTTGCGAACCTCCACCATATGCCACCCCTAGGTAAAAGTGACCACGCAGTTTTAACTTTCGAATTCCACATAACTGCCAGCCATGAGGACGCGTCAGTCCAGTCCAGACCCATTGTCTGGAAAGCAAACATACTAGACATCATGCACTCAGCATCGTTAATAGATTGGACAATAGACCCAGAGTCCTACATTGAAACGGCCTGGGACGCATTTCGAAATTCCTACTTAAAAGTTACCACACCTCACATCCCTTGGACTATACCAAAAGGGCCGAAAAACTCACCACCATGGTTCAGTAGGGAGGTCCGTATCCTTCTCCGTAAGAAAAGGAAAATGTGGGATAGATTTAGGTTACTGGGGACTGATGAGTCAAAATCTCAGTATCGAAAGGCTCGGAACACTTGTGCCTCGACCCTCCGTAAGTCTAGAAAATTGTACGAAGAAAAACTTGTTAAGGAATCCATAGAATGTCCTAAACGCTTGTATTCCTATATAAACCAAAGGACAAGGAGAAAAGGAAATATTCCTGCTCTATGGGGAGACAGTACTGCTTCATCATTAGTGGAGGACGACTTTGGTAAGGCTCAAGCGTTCTCGAACTACTTTAGCAACGTGTATACCATAGAAGCGCCCTTCTCGTCAGCGTATACAGATCCCCCCATACATACACTGGATAGCGTGACCATTAAAGAACTCGGTGTCTTTGGTCTGCTAAATAAGCTTGACATAGGTAAATCCACGGGGCCCGATGAATTACATCCAAGGCTACTGAAGGAATTATCTTACTTCGTTGCGAACCCTTTAAGTACATGCTTTAACCTATCCGTTACGCAGGGTCGCTTACCGAAAGATTGGAAAAACGCCATAGTAAGTCCTGTCTTCAAAACAGGCACGAAACACAAACCTGAGAACTACCTCCCCGTTAGCCTAACTAGTGTGGTTGTTAAAATATTAGAAAAGATTATTCGGAAGGAGCTGTTTAAGTATCTCGATAAAAACCGGATCCTCTCGGAGAAGCAGCTTGGCTTCAGAATAGGCTATTCCTGTCTCACTAACTTATTAGTGGCTCGTGAAAGCTGGTGTGCTCTTAAGGACCAAAAGCTACCTGTAGACGTCGCCTTCATTGATTTCAGTAAAACTTTTGACAAATTTCCGCACAACCGGCTGTTATATAAGTTAAGACATGTCGGGATTGGAGGTAATTTATTGATGTGGATAAAAGACTTCTTAGTTGGGCGTCAACAAAGAGTAAGGGTGAACTCCAAGTTGTCTAGCTGGGAAATTGTGCTTAGTGGAGTGCCCCAGGGTACAGTTTTGGGGACAGTGCTATTCCTTTTGTATGTAAATGACCTTCCTTGTCTCCTATCATCATCGGTCTTGCTATATGCTGACGATGTCAAGATATGGAGAACGATACGATGTAAGAGTGATAGCTTAGAACTTCAAAATGACCTGAAGAAGTTATCTGAATGGTCTCAAACATGGCAGTTGCCGATAAATACTTCCAAGTGTGTTGTGATGCATATCGGTCATCAAGGCACAGATACATACACGATGAATAACACTGAGCTACCTGTCGTCCAGACATATAATGACTTAGGAGTTATCGTTAGTCAAGACTTAAAAACTACTGCACACTGCCGTGCAATAGCCGCCAAAAGTTTTAGAACGTTATGGTCAATACGTAGGGCTTTTAGTCATGTCGACACTAAGACGTTTTTGACTTTGTATACAGTGTTCGTACGTCGTAAACTTGAGTACTGCATACAAGCGGCTAGCCCCTGTCTAAAAAAGACAGTGAGCTTTTGGAACAGGTTCAGAAAACAGCAACTAAGCTTATTCCCGAAGTTGCTAAGCTTCTGTTTAATGCTCGACTGGCCAAGCTGAACCTTTTCCCATTGTCATATCGAAAAACTAGAGGCGACTTGATAACAGTTTTCAAATTGCTTAGTGATTAATTTGCACCTGATATGCCCTCATTTTTCTTGTCTTCCAAAACAGAGAATTTACGAGGACACTCCAAAAAAGTTCATAAGCCGAGAACAAATTACTTGTCAGCTGACTATCGACTTTCCCATCGAATCATCAACGAGTGGAATTCACTACCTCAGCACGTGGTTGAGACTCCATCTGTCGACTCTTTCAAAAGAAAGTCGGATCAACTGAGAGACCACCATTGCCAGGACTAACATAGGCCATCGAGCCTCCTGTCCTTCCCAAACTGAAACCGAAAACTCAACGATGGAGAAGGCGGGAAGAACAAGTAGGTTCGTTCAAAATTCAAATTCATCGGGTGGCATGGGTCGGCCTTGCAGGCGTGATCACTCTTGAGAGTTGTGTTATATCTTTTTTCCATACTAAATATATTCCACAGGTTTCATTCGAGTTTGCATAATCGGATCTAGTATTACTTCCAAAGTATTCATTTTATTGATGAAACGTATCAAATTACAAAATATAATGTAATTCATCGGTTCAACGAAAAACTGCCCATCTCCAATTTGATATAATGAATTTTCAAGATATTTCTTGTCTCTCTCATGTATATTACGATAATATATTATTAAAATTAATCGTTATATCAGAACGAGAATTGACGACTCAAAATAGAAAACCAGAATAACACTAAGCAATACTTCATTCAATACAATTACAATGTTACACTTAGTGAGTCGAAAATAGAAATCAGTTACAGGAAGGGAAATCATATATCTAATGGTCCGTTGGCTGTGACTGTTGTTCACGCTCAACGACTAATCATATTTTACTTCCACTACCACACATCAAGAACCAACAGCACTACAGATTGATGAAAAATCTTATGTTTATTAATTACAATATAACCAGTACTTTGATTTTTCTGTTCACTTAGTGTATAAAAGCTGCATCTAAATAAACGTTACTCGTGTATTGGATGTCCAGAAATCCACATTCAGCTAAAACCAAACTGATGGAGTGAATCTAAAAGCTGTTGTTTAAAAGTCATTTACGTGGAGATATTTGGACGGATTCGCAGTAGCTTATAAACAACTGGAAATAAATGAGATTAATAGTGAAGAAACAGAGTAAGCTGGCTTGGTATCTGTGATGAAGCTATTGAATTCATAATTATTGCATGCTACCAGCGGGTTTATCTAGACTATTACACTAGTAGGCCTAAACTTAAAGAGTAAACAGGTCTTCAGTAAGACTGAACTGGCTTATCCTATAGTGATAATCATGCGAACAGGGTACCTTGATGCTCGTGCAAATAAAGCAGAACCTTGCCATGGCAACAGTATTTGCTAGTTACAGATTTTAGGTGGAGTGGGACCGCTGACTCATAGGCCTCTTCGTCATCTCGTCGATTAATCTGCGCTAGTTATCTTTCACTCAAACAAGGACCACTTATCTGCTCAATATTCAATGATCTAACGTAGAAACGAACTAGTGGCATTGACGTTTAGCTAGGACTAACTCGGTTTTTACCGGCCTAAGACCAATGTACCAGCCCACAGGTAAACAAATTTCTAGACATCACCTAACCTACCACGCTACACTCTGTAAACGACACCGAATCACACTAGAGAGCAGCAGAAAGACTCCCAGTACTTCAGTCCTATCTCTACATATTCTTCGGCTAGCCTAAGATAAAATTGACATCCGGTAATTCACATAATACGAACTCAAAGCTAACAAAGCACCTAGACTGTTGGTCGTTGTAAAGGTATATGGGTAGTCGTAAGTTGCAACTAGAAGATAATTTTCAGTCACAGCTAATAAAACAACTATCAAATTTACGGACACTCGTCCGCAAGAGCTTTGCTTCCAGTGAGAACCTTCTTGAAAATCTTTGTGGCGAATCTTGCTTGCATTGCATATTCACACTTATACAGTTAGACATCATAAAACCAACACCATAATAAACGATAATCAACATAAAGCATAAAAGTTTTGCCATAAGCTTCCCATACAAAGTCAAAATCGAACTTCTGGATACCAGCGCCCATTCAAAATAAAAATCACTGAGTACAATCATCTGTAATGCAGGTGTACTAACTTCTTTTTTCCACTACCAATATAGCTTCAAAACTAACTGAGAACTTGAAAAAACAAACCCGTGAGGTTTATCAAACAAAGTCATCTACAAGAGATACCCTACAGAACAATAAACAAATATCGTGGATTTACAATACAAAACAGTGGAAACATATATGTCCAGCTTTCATCACATTACCCACCAGTTTTTCATTTAATATGAAGACAAATAATTTTTGCAAAAAAGCTACATTTTAAAAAATCTTATCAAATGTCGAACTAGCAAAACGCATTGGCCTGACCAGTATTGTACGAACAACTTATAGAACTAATTAGTAAGTGAATAAATAAGTGTATATATACTCCTAATAATCAATACATGCTCATTCTAAAAGTTCAATTTCCCCACCTTTATTAGGGTAGACAGATGAAGTATCAAACAGTAGAAAGTGGAGGAAACATACGCACACATAAAGAGAGAACATGATATTGATTCTATTGAAGAAAACTGAAAGAAAGTTTACTAAACATCCTTCGGCACTGGTCGATTTTTGTAGATAATCTTCCTAGTTTTTATATCTGACCAATGTTTCCGTTTGTATATCCCCATTATTACTAACACAACGCTCGTAATTACTATTGCCTGAAAATTAGAAAAAAAAAACAATTTCAACAGTTTAAAAGTAGCACATAATATATTTCATGTTGTTCCTTTTTAAAGAAAAAAAAAGTAATTAGAACAAGTGATAAATATTTACAACAATCTATTGTCTTTAGCTTGATTAATTTTCTTTGGGAATTTTCATGGACTTATAAACTTTGAGCCTTTTAAGGAATCATTTATTCAAAAATAATACATAACGTGGTCAGTCAGTCAGCTAAAACGTAAGACCATGCATATATATGCATCGGTCCAAGTTGCCATGCCACATTAGCACAGCAATATGAACACTGGATTCATAGGAGTAGTTAAGTCAATGATGGTGATATATAAAAGAAAGATCGCATATAAAGATGTAGTACAGAAAGAAGCATTTAGTACATAGAAAGAAAGATATGAAGCGATTTTAATCTCTTAGTTTAGGGGAAGACAGGGGGTGTATACACTGACACGATTGTGATCGATTCAGAGCCATGTCACCAAGAGTTTCCAACCATTGGTTACGATGGTTACGCGGACTCCAACCAAATATTTTGCATCTACCAACATGGCTCAGACCAGAAGTTAGTGACTTCAAGCACTGATGTCACGTTTTGGTTTGGCCGTCCCACATAACGAGGATATAACTATGTATCAGCCTAATATATTATAATTTAAACTAGAAACAACATAAAGTGAGAACAGTAATTGTGAAGATGGAAGTATTAAAGGAAGATAGATTGTAGTAACAAAAAATAACAATAACATATAATTTCAAAACAACGAACGGAATCAATTGATATAAAGTTTAGGATTACAATAGAACTCAAGATTTAAACGATACAATTTTATTATTGCTATCTAAATTTGAGCCATTTTGTTCTTAACAGGTCAGATTAATAGTCAATGACTATATGAATTGGGGCTACGCTTTTCAAATGTCTTAAAAAGAAACACTTGATCATATCTATTCACTTTCTCCTAGTTTATATATTAAATGTAATGGTAGTTTTGTGAAGTTGCATTCTTTAAGATGAATGGTTTTAGTCGTGGAGTTTCCACTGCCTTTCTAGTGCAAAATTATTATCAACACAAATCTCGAATGGAGGTGAACTATTTGAATTTCCCTACATATTATAAACAGGTTTATCTGTCGACTCCGAATTTGATTGATCGTTATTAACACTTATTCTGAAGTTATTTTTATTGTCATTCCCATAGACCTTATGACTGTTGATAGTTTTTTTATTAAATTGGTTAATAAGTTGATTTTATTGATGGGTGAATGATCAGAGTCCCGAATTTTTCTGATCCTCTTTGTACTGACTTTGTTCAAGATTTCAATGTATTTCAAATCGGATGTGAATCCACAAAAATCACTGTGAGCTAATACAAATGAGGGTTCGTTGTGATGGTTGAAATTTAATTAGTTTTCATTAAGAAGAAGGTAGTTATTCTTAGGTTGATTGATCAAGTGGTCTTATTGGGTTGCCAGCGATCCCTACTCTCAAGGGCCTTAACAATTTTCGATATATATATTCTCGGACAACGTTGACAGCACACTAAGACGCCAAATAGATCTAAAAATGTCTAATTTATAGGAAAATGATTATACCTTTTTCCCTCAATCTTATCTCTGAATAAAAATCATTACTATTAACTCATTAACTGGATACGAGTCTGGGTACTTCACTTTTAGTCCTATTTTAATCGTGTCTTAGTGATACCACTTGGTTGTCTTAACAGAAGTAGGCGGGGCGGGGTTCGAACCAATGGATTAATGGCCGAAAATCTAACGGCGATACCATTGAGCCATCTCTCGATAAACCAATCCAAGATGATGATTATTTGGCTGTTTTTAAGGCTTTAAAGTATGAAACTTTGACTAGAATATGCATAATATATAACTCAAGAGTATACATGATGGTATATCACGTCTCCTTAAATGAAACTTTCCATCATCATAACATCAAACTATGCAGATAAATGTAGATGCATTTTTCAAGATCTATTTTTTAAAAAGTAATTTCAAGAAAATTCCATAAAACAATAAGACATAATTAAATTATATGGAACTAAATAAACTTCCATTATAGCTCCAATGAAACATTAATATGATAAAATTAAAACCACCCCTCATTACCTTAAGTAAAACACGTTTACGTTCATCATGAGTTCGATCAGAAGTCCAACAAAGAAATGTTACTACATCTTTTGCCATTTGACTAGTTGTAGCAGGTGTTCCATCAGCATATTCAATTAAATCATCATACAATACTCTTGCCATACCTATACCACCACCAGGGAAATAAGGATTATAATATTGTCCATCTGAAACTATACGACCTGGTGGAGGATCCATATAACCTGTAAGCGTAAAAATATAAATACATATTCACAAATACAGTTAGTCAGAAGCGATGTAGAATGTAGCATACAGGCAGATCGGTTAAAGCTGTCACACCAGATTATCAAGACAATTTCCAAAGTAGAAGTATTGACAATATCAGTGGTACCAAAAAACACTGAATATAGACAACATAACTTGAAAAGAATGGATTGGCGGAATAAAACATGTGAGATAATTTTAGAACTCAAGATTTAAGGAAAAACAAAGAGTGATTGCATCTGTGCCTTTCGGACTGATTCTGAGCTACATCATATAATGTCTCTAGCCATTGGTTATGATAATCACGAGAATCCCAATCAGTTAGTTTTCAAATGATAACATGGCTCAAACCAAATCAATGACTTCATGGACAAATGTCATGTTTTTATTTAGACAGACTTAGCCTTCTTGGATTCTACTCTTACAACAGCATTGCAGGAAAGTACCCACAATAATAAGGGAGCGATTGAAAAGGGTGCACGTCAATAAGGACGACCATCAAAAAAACCATATGTTAGTAAGGGCGAGCTTCGGGAATGGGAACAAAATTTTTTAAAATGTGGTTGGTTTACCGTCTATCAGTTTGCCTTTAGGATCAATCAAAAACATAGTTTTTGATAGGTTTAATGTACCGCTTACTTTCAACAAAAGCTGTAGTTTTTCGAATTAAGTAACAATCATTCTTATCACTATGGTCATGCTATCTTGTACATCCGTTTTGAATAGAAAATCAGGTCAACAAACGAAATTCTATAGCAAATAAATATCCCCAAAAAATATATTTGTCTAACTTTTATTCAAAGGGAATTAGATTAGTATAGAAACTGAGCTCCAAATAAGGACCAGCGCTGAATTTACCTTTTTCACTCTTAAGTTAATTATCACCTATGAATCTAAGTTAAATAACAAAACTCCAGTTGGATTTATCTATTTCCTGGAATAGAAAGTAAATTACTAGACAAAAATTATCTACAAGAATTTATAAATCACCCAGTAGAGCCGTAATTTAGTCCGTTTCAAAAATGCCTAACAAATGTTAGAATAATCTGTTCCGTCAAATAATTCATATTCACGCTGGCGTATGCGTCAGTTGATGAAAGTAATTCGTGAATATGATTGCAAAATATTACTCAATAATTACTGGAAAGGTACACTGTCTAAATCTCACTGTTGTAAAACCTCATACTAATTATTAAGCAGGTCAACCAGATTCTTAGCTTTGTTGTTCAAAATAGATGTACAATATGACTAAGGTAATAAGAATGAAAGATTGTTACTTAATTCGAAAAATTACAGAATTACTCGAAAGCGAGTGGTACATTAAACGTATTAAAAACTATGTTTCTGATTAGTCGTCGAGGCAAACTCACAAACGGCAAACCGACCACATTTCAAACTCTTGAAAATCCTAATTCCCCCTTCTCGATCCTCACGCTTTTGAATGAATGCCTTCCAATTGAAAATAGGAGGCGATTCACTCTATGTAACATATATTCAAACCATGTCAATTAATGGAGATTAACAACCTCAAATCGGCTTACTATCCTTACCTAGTAACCTAAGTCTAACCGTAACATCCTTCATCCAATGCTCTCAGCATATGCGAACAAAACACAAACAAACTGTAACTAAAATAGTGAGAAATGCTGTAAATTCGTCAACTAGTGTTGAATTCTTTTAGTTGGATGGGTTAACTACGTAACATTTATAACTTCATGCTCGACATTATCAATGCCACAAGTCTTACACTCATGTTAGTTTATTCTAATGAGTTTATTTGTGATTGGTTGATTTCAACAATGCAATAAACAAACCATACATGACTGGAATGATTTCTTCTTACTACTTTGATTAATTGAATGTGTATATTAAAATTATAAAGTAATCCGGATGTCAGACGTTTGTAAAACTTTAATTTTTAGAATTCCATTAGTTAAGAATTTTGGTACTTTATAAATTGCATCTATATCTCTTCTAGTAATTTACACCTATTACAATCAGTGACAACATATTGTGTTACCCAATTACCAAACAACGTTAACAGTAGCACGTTGGTAGAAAGGATATTTATGTTTTGTTAAGTTACTGCTTTTCGCAGTTGTTATAAATGTTGACATACTTGTCATTCCATTATTGTATTTATTGATCCGTATACAACTGTAGATGGAATGGGATGAGGAAATAGTGTAATAGTTATTAAGCAACACACTAATTTCAAATGGTCTCTAAATCTTTGCAATGATTTCTAAAACGTCTTTCTGAGAGGATGATTTCCGGATGATAGAATGTCTTGTTAAACATGGATTGAAGTTTCAAGAACGGTTATTCTGTTTACATAACAGAAATAAAAGAGATGAATTGCTTAAAATTTTCGTTAATTAAGAATCCCACAGAAAGCCTCTGATCTTATGAACAGTGTGCAAACATAACTAATTTATATATTGTTGAGTTATGACAGTTGTAAATTTTTGTTTTTCGTCTCTGTAGCTTATCTGTTTGCCCAGTTATGTCTCGCTTTTCAGGAAATCACCGAAGAAATAAAATTTGTCATCTAATTCTTTTTCCTTCATACATTTCATGCTGTTGAAAATATTGTCGGTTGGCTTACGATTTCTAAATCTGTCTCTTACGATGTATACGAATGCATTGTATGCCTTACGGATCCAAATCTTTGAAGTTGATTGATTGTGACAGGAAGTGGCTGAAGTGGAAATCAACATCGCAGGTGATTGCACAGTGAGATAGAAATTCCTCTACTCCGAATTTTTATTCATACTCCTATGTGATCGAAAAAACTTTACTGGGAAATCTATTCTCTACTCAAAAGAGGAAACTTTTTGCTCAAAGATGTATATAAATAGTAGCATTTTCCCTAAATATTGATTGTTTTTTAGTTACAGAACAGGCTGTCTTGTGATGTTACGCAGCTAATTGTAATGTAAAGATCTAAGGGTAAAAGTTATATTTTTGTTGAGCTCACTAGTAAATAACACCAAGGATATTCCAGGAATTCTAGTAAGAAGCCGTAACCAATAGAGTTCAACTGTGTTGGCTATGAGGCAGTTACCCAGAAAAGACAGTGCAAGACGCTTGCGCGATATTGCCCGCTGATTGAACTTAGATACGTACATCAATGGGTGACGTATCAGTAGTCCAAAGGTGAGGTGCCCGCCGCGAGATGTCTTGGGTTTAACCTTCATTGGATTAGAGGATGCGCACTGATGAGGAGTCCCATACTAAGACGAAGTAGTTATCCAGTGCTTCTTTATACTCAACGGTTATATAGTCAGTTTGCGATACCAATACAGAATTAATAGAGAGAAACAAACACTTTTCCAAAAAAGTTACCTTGATCATATTAAAGAGGGCCTCTTTGTAACAGGTTCTATTCCTTAAACTAAATTAATTGAAACACCAACCTTAACTAAAAAAGTTTCCTAATAAATAAATAAAGTATTCAGCATTATAAATTTACAACAGTTACTTAGTGAAATTTATGTACCTGTAAGGAGATGGAATATATAATTCTCATTACCCTCCCGAGCTTTGACAATATATGTCAGGTCCGGTGGTTCTGCGCCGTTATTAGCAGCACGCGCTGCTTCTTTATTCGGATAAGGAGATGGAAGTACATCAGTTAACCGACCTGGTCGTTCAAACATATTTCCGTTATCGTCCGGTCCATCAGGATACATATGCTACAATGCAATTATAACAGATAAATAATAAATCTTTTGTTATTGTTTCCTTCCATTTAAATCTTATATCTGTATAATTCATTAATGCTTACATGGTGGCATATAGACAATACAGAGATACATACGGCTAGTTTTTGAAATGTTTGACTTCTCAACAACAATTAATATGAAAAATCTGACGGATAACTGAATAACTATTTTTTTACAATCATAGTAAATCATCAAATGATCAGTCATAGTAACTTTCAGTCCTTAAATTTGTAAATAATGATGCTAGGACAAGAATGTTTAGCTTTATATTACCACTAAAACAATAATTGAAATAATTAGGTTATTTTTTATGCAGAATTAGGCATATATGTTGCATCGGCTCAAGTTTTCACAATACATCAACACAGAGAGATGAAATTATTAAGATAAACAATTAAATAGTAGAATTAATAGTGGTAGTAGTATTAGTGTTGGTAGAGAATGTTAGACACAGAGAACATGATTTTAGATAAGTTGATTTGGGGAAGGAAAAGAAAAAATAATCTTAGAACTCATTACGTAAGAAAATACAGTGAGCGATTGCATCTGGGACGATTTTGAGACATGTTCCCCAATGTCTAGAACCATTGCTTGGGATAATCGAGAAAACGTTAACCATGTAGTCGCTACCTATTAACATGGCTCAAATCAATGGTCAATAATCTCATGAACTAACGTCAAGTTTTGGTTTGACCACTCCTAGTTGTCTTCTAGCCTACTCATACGCCATTCGACATTGCAAGTAGAGGTAGGCGGCGGTTGAACATACGTTACATATATCCCAGAGACAACTTTACTAGTGTCCTGAGTCTAGCCACAATAACCTAAATTTGATGTTCCAAACATACAGTCTGTAAATAACAATACGAAAGCTTACACTTTTCATGGCAGTGACATCTTCTAAACCAAAACTATGAACATTAATTTTCGGGAAAATTGACATCAAAAGCATATATATATATATATATATATATATATATATATATATGCTTCAATCTTAGAACATCTGAATCCTTGGTCCTCAACACAACCTCAGTATCCATCAATTTACAGATATCGTATTATAACAACGGGCCTCTGTAGATTGATGATATACTTATGTATAAAACAATATTGGTAGTTATTAAAAATTTTAAGTAACACTAGTAAGTTAGTAACTGATTGATAACACGAATGCATTAGCACTTTACGCAAATAATGTGAGAATATAGTTTTCTCGATAGGACTTATTATTTCGGAACTATTTTTAAGTTATGTTATCTAGTGTAGGTTGAAGGGCGGCCAAACCAAGACGTGGCACTAGTATATGTATACCTTGACAATTGGACTGAGTCATGTAGGTAAGTGTAGACTAGGTGGTTTTTATAACCAGTGGTCAGAGACATTGAATGACATGGCTCAAAATCGTTTGCAACAACACAGGTGCATCCACTCGCTTTCGTCCCTCAGACTCTAAGTTTCAAAATTCCCCATAGATTTGTTTTTGAATCGTATTTTGAGGCCTAATCTTTTCTATTACTACTAGTACAGTTACTACCTGTACTATTCTTGGGTTTGTCCTAACAATTTCATCTTGCTGTGCCAATAGGGAATGGGAACTTGGACTGATGTACACATATACCAGATTCTACGTTGCGCTTGACTGACAGACAGGAAATACTTACATCCAAAGGATTAGTTACGCAACAAACTTAAGCTACGGTTTAGATATATCAAATGCAGTTGTACGAATTCCGACCAAATGTAGATTGAGAAAGCAGGCTGTACGAAGAGAGCATCGATGATCAGTAATAAAAGTTAAATGAGAAGTCATTAAAACAAGGAGCCAATGGATAAGCGGTTTCGGAAGTCGACTTTTAGCCAAGCCACAGGTTCGAACTCAATTACATCTAATACGACTTTAGCAACTAAGTAGTATCATTATTCCTCATACCTAGAGGGTAGCTTATACCTAAGCACCTAGTGAATGAGCCTAATTATTTATCAGTATAGGGTTGTGGAGGTTAATAAGTTATTGATTGAGATTATGAACCGAATGATGTCAGACTACCATTGAAAACCTTGAAGCACTGGACAGCCGATTTGTCCTATGGTGGGACTCCTCAGCAGTGCGCATCCACGATCCCGCTCGCGGGATCCGAACCCAGGGTTTCCAGTCTCGCGCGCGAACGCTCAATAACTTGATAATATCCACAACCCTATACTGAAAATTACCATGTGCTCACCAATGACTAGCTTCATGAGGGAATTATCGGAGTTCTAGTGAGAAGACGTGACTAGTAGAGCTAATCCGTATCGGGTAGAGACATGAAAAAAGACTATCCTACTCGGTCTTTATCTATAATTATTGAAATGGGAAGCATTTGTAATTCACAAATACCCCGACAAAATCCCCATCCTGTAACACTAGAGAACTAGCGGGCCGCCTTGCCGAGTAATTTTTGAGTATTATTTTTTAATAGCCTTTTGTTAGATTTTAGTGTATGGGTTATTACTTCTTGGTCTTAGATGCCCTTAGTTGGAAAACAAACTGCACGAATTCAGTGATTTAGTATGTAACTAACACTCGTATGAGTAAACATCAAGTGACGCTGGTGATCAGTTGAAAATTGAAATATGGAAGTATATTATATTGACTTTTTGAGGGAGATGGATATAAATTATAACATTTATGATTTAAATCTACATATATTTTCGAGCTTAATTTCTTGGAGAAATTTCTTAGATGTATTGTTATTCTTTCTAAATTCCTCATAATTTCATTTTATTTTACTAACTTATATTTTCTTCAATCGCACTTCCATACTTATTCTTTTCTATTACCATTAATACTGTTACTACCTCTACTATTTTTTGAACATATTCCAAAAAACCTTCGAACAAGAGAGAACTGCTTTAAACAAAGCAATTACTAAACATCTCCTGGATACAAAACATCGGGTCGACAACTTGCAGTTTTTCAATGCGATCATTAAACACTTAAACTCCAGTGTTCTGAAGCCTGCTGAAGCCATTGCTATCAGGTGTTATATTTATTTGCTTAAACATGAACATTGGTATAAGGACGCACCAAATACATATGCGCCACACTTCATTCGATTTATAACATTAGTAGATACAGTCCAATTGTAGTTGGTGACCAATAATGGGTTTATATGCCATTTGTCCCATCAGGATCCTGGAACCCGTGTATAACACTGGTTTGGAATTCAGATTTTCCAGCTACTCGAGGCCGATCTTCCGCACCCACCAATCCGGTTAAAGCCCTAGATATCCACTTCTTGTCTTCTCGATTTCGCAAACAGACCTACCGTTAGAAGGCAGTGAGTAGGACTTCCCTGGGAGTGGCCGTGTTCGCGTGGATTTTTCCAACCCTCGGCCATAACAGGACATTTGGGGGCGTCATAAACCTGATTTATGTGCTTGGAAGATGATTGTTAATCTTTATTTACCTTGGTTAATTATATCACTACGTTTTTTTATTTCTTCTGTATTCTAAATTATTAGTCTTATTTTACTAACTTTACTCGTTTTATTCTTACTTATTACCAAAGTCTACCCATTACGTAACTAATTATTTCTGTCCCTTTGGACTCTTGTTAGATCCAGTGTTGTAGAATATCCTTTTATATATATTCACAATATTTCACCCTTGCTATACTATAATGATGTCTACAAAGTTACTTCTAACTAAACTCGTTCATGTAAGCGATTTAAACTAATTTTGTAATTATGATTTTCAAATACCACAGGTTGTAAGCAGCTGACGAGAACCAAACGAAATAAAGGGAATCCATGTTATTCTGCTCAAATCTTTGTCCTTACTCTCTGCAAGATGATAAAGGGAACTATGTGTGTGAAAAAGCTCTACTATCCTGGGATTTGTCTTAATTTCTTGCTGTGCTAATGGAGAATAGGAACTTAGACCAATGTAAACATGCACCAGGTCGTACTGTGCATTTCATTGATTAACAGATTGTTATTATCATGTTTTAAAATGTAAAGAGAAAAAGGTATCAGTAGGATGGAAAACAATTCACACTATGACTATTCAGCAATGAGTTAGCAGCATTCACCAAGTACTTTTATGAATCAAGAAACAAAATCCGCATTCAGCTTACTTCAGCTGCATCCGCTTTAGCCTCATCTTCTGTGAGTACTGTATTGACTAAATGTCGATAGCTCATATACTTCAAGCTGTGACAAGCACTACACACTTCTTTGTATACTTGATAACCTCGACGCATAGAAGCATGATCGTAAGAAGATATTATCCCATTGTGTATCCAAGGTAGTTTTGCAGGATGAGCTTGTAAGTCTGATGCATATACAGGTACAGCTAAGCTTACAATCCCAATGCCAACAACTCCACTTGCAATTGTAAATTTCGTCCAAAGATAGTATTTAGATGATTTCCAATATGGTAGATTCTGAAAAGATAACCACTAAGAAATGAGATATTGTGCCTTAGTTATTAAACACAAGAGACAAACCAAGGGAAGAATATTGTACTGATCTTTTAGCATAAGTAAATCTGAAATTTTTACAATTTATGAATAGCCATGTAATTGTTAATCTTCATTAAAATGTCGACTTCTGTAACCAACATCTCGAGTATCTCGGAATATTTTGTCCCTCCCCCAACACACTACAATATAGAGATATTCGCACCAACAAACTGTTAAGGTTTGCGTACATTGGTGTAAAGAGTAGAGATGGTATCAACTACGAGTGTAAGCAGTTGGAGATTAGCGTTATTAAATAAAGACAGTTTGGTTCTTAAACCTATTGACATTTGTACTCATCTGCTCTTGGTAAATTGGTTTTCAGCGTATTCGAATGAGCGAAAATAAACCACTTCACAGTAATTAATTACTTTGGATGTATCTTTCAAGCAACAACGGACTATGGTAAACTTTAGTCCCAACCAAATGACTATCCGTAATTAATACTTTTTTTAGAAGATAAAATATTATACTAACAAACAAACAAGTTTAGCTGTAGTACTCCAGTAACTTTTCAACTAGTTCACTAATGAATTATTTAGTTGACATAACTCATTAAGCGAATATAGGCCTGCGAGCGCGGTTTTTAGCTACACTTTGAGTGAGAATGACTAATATTACCCGGTTACATTAACTGAAATAGGTAGAATGAGACTTGAACTTATGACCCAGTAGTTGGATTAAATGTTTTAAGTGCTAAATCACTATTCAATACTTTAGTACTAATACTCGATGTTTTAAACTCGACTAACGAAAATTCTACAGAAACACATGTAATGACGCACAGATTTAAGTTACTATACCCTCACAGTTACATGATGAGAGAACCAGCAACTGGATAGACAAGTGAGCAACAAGAAAACACGAACTGTCTGGGACCTAAAATAAAAGTCAAAAGCTTTACGTCGATGTGGTCACTTTTGAGCTATCATGTTGAGTCCCAATCAAATGATTTCTTGCAAACTTAAGTCTGGGAACCGATGCATAAAAACGAAACAGACAGCATCTGTGGTGAATTTACGAGGCGAATGGCTGAGTTTATACATGTCCTAGCCCCCAAATGCCCTGGTACGGCCGAGGGTGAGGAGAGTCAACCCCTCTTCTCCAAATGCTTCAATATGGCCACGCGTATACAGCCACTATCATGGAAGTCCTACTCACTGTCTTCTCTCACCAGGGGTGTTGTTTACGAAATTGAAAGAAAAGCGAATGTCCGGCACTCTAACCGGGCTGCTGGATATGAAGGATCTACGTAGTAGAGTTGGAAAACCCTGATTCCCAACCAATGGTGTACATGAGCTCCAGTATCATGAAGGGACAAATGGCGTATAAACCTATCGTTGGTCACCGGCTACCATAGGACTGCATCTCCTGACGCTGCTCCACTGCCTTGTGGATCAGACCTTTAGGTTAAAGGCTCGGGGTGTGGCCACCTAAGAAAAACACCTGCTTCGGTTTGGGCACCCAAGCATTATCACAGCCCACACATATGTGGAGTGACTTGTGTGGTGCATATGTATTCGGTGCCCCTTTGTACCAATATTTGTCTTGAAATAAATAAACACGTCATAAACCCATTTTATACTATATAAACAATTGAGTTATTCCGATTCCATTGTGTAGTTCTTTACTTATTCAAAAGATTATCTACAGAACTTTTTTACATACATGTATATAAGGACATTAATTTTTGTTGACAGTGCTGACTGTGCAGTTAGAACCAACTGCCTGAGTGAGTTGTAATTGTGAATACAATCCAACACCATATTAATGAATTAAATTTTAAGAGATATAATTCAAAAAAGCATTAGCAAAAGAGATTGTACTTCTTTTGACATATCTTGATGTTCACGTATAACATGTAAACTTTAAACCATATCCATGCATCTGAAATCCATATATTAAGGAGACAGCTGATCTTGAGCCTAAACTTTTCAGCCTCGTCATTTAGCAGTATAGAGGTAGTATCGTGACAACTACTAGTTATTAACATGAAGCAAATGACACTCAGGTAAAGTCAACAACAGGAAATCATTATAGGATGAGACTTGCTCCTTAAACTGTGATCTATACTCATTATACATCCTTGGTGTTCTGCTTACCATCCGGGTTAATATAGGAATAGGCAATATAATGAAAATTAATATTCAAGTACATCTGTATGTTGTTTACAGTCACCTTTTTAAAGGTTCGGCTTTAATTTTACTCTATGTACTTTAGAAGTCAGGTACAAGTTTGTAAACTCACCTTTAAGTCACACTTTTGATCCAAGACTAACAGATCGGCAAGACTATAAATTATGGACGAGCCAATCAGAAGCGTTTGAAGGATTTCAAGTTCACGGCAACAATTTTAGTACCTGATGCTCACGTACGATCGGTTCACAGAGGATTTTAGAGAAGACACAATTGAATGGCTACAACAAATTAGACTACTAGGAAGTTCCTGTATTTGTGATCGTGGTAATCAAATGACTTGTGCAAATCACTGTGTTGTCTTGCAAGGTATATATGTTGGAGGAAGATTTCTGCTAGAAGAGCTTTTTTGCTCGATCCAGATTGAGACTAAGGCAAATTATGATAATTGTTGCGAACTGAATAATAAAAGCACCAGTAACACTGGCTGCAAAACTTGCAGATGTTACTGAAACTTCGGTTGGTCAGTGGTGAGTATTGTGGAGACATGTGCAGTAAATATGACAAGCATATACAAGTCGTTTGGGGAAGTCGGGAGAATCGTTAAAATAGATGAAATAGTTGTGAGAAAACGAAAATTCAATAGGGGTGTAGTGTTAAAGACTGGGTAAGTAGCACTACCATAAATATATCTCCAAAGTCCTTGGAACATACGACAGATAATCTCAAAATAGACACTCCCAACGGGCTAGAAACCAACAGGCTACAACGATAATACCAATTATACAGGAATATGTGCAGCCAGGTACTACAATATATAGAGATGATTGGAGAGCCTGTGGATGCCTACGTAGACTTGATTATGTCCATTATATCGTTATCCACAAGCGGCATTTTGTGAACCCAGCAACCGGAGTGCACACAAACAATATTGAAGCCATATGGTCGATGCTAGGAGATTTCTTGCGACCTCACCATGGCTCCACAGGTCGACTACTATGGAGCCATATGAATGAGGTCCTCCATCGTAGGCATGATGATTTCAGAACCTCTGAACCTCTTTCTAACCTTGAAGTTTTTTAAACCATGTACAAGTTTACCCACTATGATTCTTTGGTTTTGCATAACATATTTTTACCTCCACTGTTTTCTGATTGGTTATTTCTCAAGGTCACTTAGGACCCACTCGAAGGTCGTTCGTAAGATGGTTCCATCATAGTTTTCGTTTATGAAGTTACTGATAAGCAGCTTAAGCAGTGCTGAGATACAGAATCTCTGAACATTTCCTCAGCAAATATAATCAGTGGTATCGAGACAGAAAACAACATAGTTTGAAACCGCTTGTGAAGTCTTACATCTAATTATCTTTAACACTTCCACATGTTCATCAGAATCATGTACGCTGCCGTAAATCAGCAAACAATATTTCTACCTATATCAGCTTGCATAGATTTGATACACTACCGGGCAGGATTATACGTTGCCATTTCTACTCTCACTGATATCGCCCTGAGAAAATCTCAAATCAAGGCGATTTCTGAGAAGTCGCACACCAATAGTTGTGGGAAGTGCACTTATACCTGATGTCTAAATACAAATTTTTTATCCTAAATTTCCACAAATCAACCAGCAAAACAGTCGAGCTAACGTCCTCATTAGAAGCAAGGAGGTCGAGGATAATCAGTGTTTGATTACGCTGTTGTCCACAACATATTTATGATCGAGGACCCCAAAGTCATTTATTTACTGCTCCGAGCGATTCATCCTAGTCAGACCCTAGTTTATCAGGTTGCATACAAAACTGCGCTTTGTTTTCGATATTATTCTCCTGAAAACACAACAAGTAGTGATGAAATGTCCAGAAGGCAAGGGCAATGCACAAAATAACCAACCTTCTGGAAATAACTAAGTACTCCATACCACTTGCTATGCATTTCAAAAGTGGCTCCAGTGAAAGAGCCAACGGTTATATGCCTCAATTCTCAATTAATTCTTTGCAAAACAGCTTTCAGAATGTGCATTATGATAATTTTCTGTGGCAATTATTGGGCTTCTCAGTAATAAAGTAACGCAGATTCATACACCGATAGCACAAAAAGCAGTATTTATTGACTCAATGCTGTCGGTTGTGCTACTCATGAAATAATTTTCGAGTTAATCTCTCCTAAAATAAATTTTCAAAAACTTCGTGCTCTCTAAATCATGACATGATTTGTATTCATGTATATTGTGCCACATAAGCCCGTGGACATCCTGGAGTATAAGAGCGATCTGTGAACCAAAGCCTACTGTTGATAAAAATCCATAGATTTCTTCAAAGCATTCGAAACAGTTAATGACTGGATCTTTTCCTAAAACAAAAATAAACAGGAGTTAATGAGCATTTGATTCAGTATTCAAAGGTCTAATTGACAGGAAGGTTATAGCCTATCAGATCTCTGAAATGTTTATTCTGTTTATAACGTTGAGTAAAGTATCAAAAGAGTTTGTAGTGATGAATTATTACCCGAAATAAATAGTTATATGAGTCTTTGACATTTATTCTAGTTAGTTTTTGCGGACGTTCGATCATGCACACGCACCCGATCACGAGTTAGTACGTCGTGCTACGCACCCCGTGCAACAAATCAAGAGCTTTTGAAATATATCATCGAACTCGTTCATACCCTACTTCTGATTTGAGTTGGTTGGTGTCTTTCGAATATAGAGGTGTTACGGACGAATGCGGTCACATACTAAGCATCTGTGGTACCTTAAGTCGTTAACACGACGTGGTCTGGCAAACAGAACCACAAATTATGGGCTTGTTTCATTTTGCAACGACATGTATTATTTTTAATTTTTACATACTGTGATATTATTTTTGCATTCCAGGACATTTTAAAGATTAGGACTTACTCCTCCCACTTCTCATCTGTCATTCTGGCAAGATAATATGGCAACCCGTTTCTGCTATGTATGGGCCAACGTCTACGAGCACAGTGTGATAGACCAATGTGCGCAGTTACTCGCATTAGTCAAGGAACTGCCTCGTGGTTTTAACAGGCACGTTACATCTACAATATTTACAAATGGTATTCACGAATCTAGGACACCCGAAAAATTCTAGGGGTTAAGGGTTTGAGGGTGGTTATCACTTCCTGGTTGCCTATATCGTGTAAGGGTTTTTGAGGCATCTGAAATGGAAAATGGGTTAGAGTTGGTCTTAGTGATCGGAGAGCGTGACCTCAGTGCTCAAGGGACATGTGCGTGAGACCGGTCAGACACGACCTTTTTGTAGGTAATGTTTGTGTTAGCTTCATAGTTGTTGAGATCTTACGGCCGGAAACAAGTATCCGTATGATGAGGCGAAGTGTTCAATCTTAGGATTGACCTTTTCTAACCCCACCTCTCCTTCATGGGAAGGCAGCATCGCTGTTATACCGGTAGTCTAAGAGAAACACCTTACTGCCACCACATTTTAGTACAGTCAACAGTACGACTTTTCCCTCGGAACTTGGATTTGTCACTTTTTGCCTTACCGCTCCTCAACCGACTTACCTGGAATAGTAGAACCATGAGAAACGCTTGCTGCAGCTAATATAGCTTGATCGCTTCACTACGATAGGCAAGCTCGAAAACCGCATCAATGTAGTAGCAGCGGTCGAGACACCTGAATAATGGCCATCCTTAAACAAAGGGACGAAACTGACTAACAACGTATAAACATACTCTTCCACAGTAAAAAACTCCCACACGACTCAGTAACAATAGTGTTACTACGCATGTGGAAGTCTCCGGTCAACGAACTTTCAATGAATGTCCCTCTACGCTTCCTCGACTTACGCAAGCGTTTCTCGTCTCATTCCCAAGTGACTCCATAGTCGAATTAGCTGAGTCTGCCGGCCGGATTCTAGAAATCATCATACCCTTCAACACCGATGTTTGTACTGTCAATAAAAGGCCTCAAACGATACATAATGATATTGAGGATCTCTATAATACTCTTACTTTCTTTACAATCATCATGACCGTAAACTATTCTAAATTCCTCAAATAAGCTCGTCACAACACTGATGCAGAATTAAGCCTTCCTGCGAACTCTAATGATCACTTACATAATCCGGCCATCAACTTACTGGCAGAAAATGAGAAGAAGATCCCCAAATACGGTAAAGAAGACTCTTACATTAACGTGGGTTTATGTAAACCTAATCACTAGATTCTAGGTGTTGCAAACGTCTCTATCTCAGTCGATGCATACGGTCTACACATGCTTCCAACGGAAACTTAACAAGTGGCCCGAACTTCATAGAATAGGTCGAAAAGTATCACGTCTAATCAGCAATATAACATACCATATCACTACAGCAGAACCACTTGCACTTTTGAAAGCGTACGTACTGGCTCACGAAAAGCTAAGATACTCCATAAATAACCCCGTGCACACGTTAAATTTAGGCATTGTCCGGCCATTAAACGACCCGCGGGCAACACCTCGGTTCATGGCCCCTATAATGGACACCAAGGATTGGCGTCCAACTGATGATTATTGCTGACTTAACACACACGATCGTATTCTCGTGCTACTCCTACGACCTGACAAATACATTGAAAGGTACAACTATTCTATTGAGAATCGGTCTGGTTAAAGCGTTTAATTAAATTCCTATGGCTGAAAATGGCAATGTGAAAACGACTATCACCACTCCCTCCGGACTACAAAAACTTTCTAGCGCTTACCTATCGGCTTAAAAATAGTGCACAGACTTTTCAGAAATTAACTGATGATGTACGTATTCAGGGGTTTAACTTAGAGCATGCTTACATTAATGACTGTTCACTCGTGAGTCAGGATCAAGAATCCCATCCCTAACAGCTGGATCTTGTTTTTAAATGACTGCAAAAACACGTCATTCAGGTAAACAATCACAAATGTCAAATCAGAACGGACCCCTCGAACTTTCTTAAGCATGCCATGGATGAAGACATACGCCTTCTGTAAGGCAATGTGACAGTCATTCTGGATAACCCAGAACCGACCGCAGTCAGGAAATTATGCAAGTTCAGCGGTCTGGTAAGCTTTTATTGATCGTTCATACCGAATCGCGCGTCTCACATGTGACATTTAACTGATCAAATTCCTGGAGATGCGAAAACTAACAATATCGACGACAACACAAAAAAGCACTATCTGCAGTTAAAGGATTCAATGCAAAATCAGCTCTCCTCCCATACAAGTACACCAAAACACTCATTAGCCCCACTATTAACTAATCTGACTTGACTATTTGTAGAGTCTTACAACAACTGGCGGTACAGCAGCCTCGGAACTCAGTAGAAGGCTAAGGATTCGCTCTTTTAGTCGACCACTGACCTCCAAAATCTTTCAGATCATCATAAAACAGGTACTGTTTTGAAAGTTTTCGGCATGAAAATCTCTCCACGTACAAAATGTTATGTTTTGTACTTTTTGATTTCCTCAGATAAACATTTCGTTGATCTTTCGATTCTGCTTGAAAAGTTATTATTTATGTACTGTTGTTCTAGTTTCCCATGATTCCGAAATCCTTCTTTACAAAGTTCGTGTAAGACCTATCGTCGAACAATGCACGTTCTTATTTTCCAACCTACCTCTATAAGATATACTAAAGGTGGAAGGAATACAGCGATACTTCACCCGCAAAATACTTAGGACTGACTCAGTCATTGACTATAGTTCCCGATGCCGAATCTTAGGAATATCACCCCTTTGGGAGAGAAGGTGTAGAATTATGGTCTAATATGATATTAGTACTGCTCTAATAATAGACCTAATCCCAAAATTGTAGATTCGTCATGATATAACTGCCTAATCTATAAGATCTTACGTGGAAGTCACACCATCGACTACACCAACTCACTGTATCGTATCAATTACCAATACCTGACGAGGAACAAGGTTAGGCTAGAGAAAGAACAATATATTTAATATGAATAGAAGATATAAAGTAACACTGAAATGGACCACGCCTGCATGGACGAGCCATGCCACTCGATCAACTCCAGTCCATTCAATTCATTGTCCGCGCCTTCTCCATTGTTAGGTATTTCTCCGCGTTAAATATTGAATATCTATTTTCCGAGTAGTCTCGTGCTCACAGCTTTGTGGATTGTGTGGCTATTGTTCAATGCCACTACACTACTCTCCCACCAGAATCAACGTGATGTTGGTTCGATACCAAATTGGATGGGATCGTCGTGCGCCGAAAGTTACCAAGACTAGGAAGAATCCCCCGGGTAATGATAAGCTGAAAGATAAATCAAAAAGAAGGCGGCAGCATCTGGTCGGGAAATTTATGTAATAATTTTTTAAAAAAAATCTGCCTTCATGCTTAACACACTTAAAATGACAATTTTGGTGAAGATTATTTGAACTATAAAAAATGAGATTATAATAATAATAATAATAAAACGATGCGTGTTAATAACTTAACTTATAGGTAGTAATTATTTTGTGTTTAGAAATATTAAAATAATGAATATTGTAGAAATGTTAATATTGGTATTAGTTTTGGTTTAAATTATGAAATCGGATAACGATTATGCCGGTAAGTTGTCCATAAGAGTTGATTTCCAATTGCATCTGTATCAGTAGGCTAACTGAAGGAACAAAAGTATTACCATGGTAAAGAATTCCAACTAGTGTTCCAGTTAGTTTGATACGGTTTATTTAGTTACGGGGAGATTTTCTCAACCTCATTTTTACTTGACCGTGATAGAATTTGGTAATACTACTAATACACATGAATGGTTACCAAAATAAAATTTAAATACGTGAGTGATCATTATATGAATTTTGGACAGATAGCTAGGAACAAATCGTTAAACCTGAGTGTGTTCGTAAGAGACATGCTCTAGACTCAATGTTCTGATCCGCGATAGACTATTTATTTATATTTATACTTGCCGGCTG